CGGGGACGATTGCCGTGAGACAGGCAAATATACACAAGTGTCGAAGCAAGTAGCCTACATCCCAAAGCAAAAGAATTTCCAAAGTAAAAACCGCTTGCCGAATCCTAGTATAACAAAAAATAAAGGTTGGCTCGTGTAGCCAATCCCAAAGAAATGATAAAAACGCCGTTCATGATACTCTACAACGTGATCCGTGAGACCTTTCTATAAATGTGTGGTAAAACTGCCCTTGTCCAGAAGTGAAATGATATTATGCTGAGAACCGTGAAGCAGGCGCCAGGCCAGCCATTAAGACATTTTCACTTCTCGAACTGCCTTTATAAATTGCTCAGTTGCCAGAGCCTGGGTAGCTGCAGTAGCACCATCCTCCCCAGCAAGAGGCTGAGACAGAAGCGAAAAGAAATCGCTCTTGGTCTTGCATCCGTGGAGCTTGGTCTCCTTAGTGAGCAGAAACGCAACAGCGGCTCGAATAAGGGTCGTATCTCCTTCAAATACATAGATATCAAATAACCGCGAGGCTTCGTCGATTACAAGCTGGCCTGTGAAGAGACTGGTGAAAATCGGGTACAGATACATTTCTGGTTTGAGATCGGGAATTCCTTTGAGATGGTCGTAAAGAGGAATCGACATGGCGGCGAGAGTTTGAACAACAAAATTGTATGCTGATGCTTGCGCTCCAGCATCCGACGTATAGAATGAGAGCGGGAGAGAGCGGTTGAGGAGGTTGGCCAAAGCCACGAAGGTGGACGCAGGGGTAGGGAGGTTGAGGAGAAGGAGAGCCGCGATGGTCTGCAAGGGAGTGTTAGAACACAGACGGTCAAAGAACTGGGGGATTAGTGTGTGCGATCTACTTACGTTGCACCCAGAGAGATACCCAATATCATTTCGGTACATGGCGTAAGCCATCAAGACGTCCACCAAGTTGTCGTGCAACGGGCCACCAACATCTAAAACGTGCAGGTCCTTCCAGGTTTTATTTGTCACATCTTGGCGAATCTCGTGGAACCACTGGACTCTCTTGGCATCCTCAGCCGTTCCCTTTTGATCGTTCACTCTCTGCTCCAGCTCATGAGCCCTGGTCAGCGCCATATCGAAGGAGGATTCGGACAACCCAAGTGGATTGCCAATGGCCCGAGACCAAACCGCACCGCGGCTTCTCGGGGGGACACCACGCCACCACATCTCTCGTGTCTTCCTCTCACGGAGGGCATCGTCCCAGCGAGCCAGAATATCTTGCTCCCACACTCGCATAGACCCATCAACTACTACGTCCTTGGACTGTTCCTTGGATCTGCGAGCGGCTTCTCGCCGCTCGTCGGCTTTGGCGCTTGCCGCCATCATCTTCTGATACTCTCGTAGATGACGCTTCTCTTCGGCGGGGTCCTTGGGAGGCAGCCATGAAGGTCTTGTTCGGCTAAGAACAGCCTCTTTCTCTCTAGAAACGGGCAGTGGGTCAATCATGACATTGGTTCGTCGCAAAGGAGGAAGTTCCGGTGTCGATTTGATCCTCGACTTCTTTTCATAGGAATATTCCGAGGATGACCGGCCGGGATTCCAGGTGTTGGGGCGGTTGGATCCCAGAGACTGTCGCGTTCGCTGGTGCTCTAAGTCATCGGCGTGCGCCTCGAGCTTTTCGGTGAGCTTCTTCGCTTCAGCGCTCAGCTCAGCAAAGCCTGCATTCCATGACAATGTCCGCTTCAAAGGCTTGCCAATTGGCGACCTCTCGCGTGACAGGGACTCCCCATCGTTTCTCCATAGAGGGGAGCGAAGAGACCCGTGAGCCTGAGCCACAGGGGGGGTACCATTTCCCACACTCCTGATGCGGTCCTTGTGAGATCGATCCAAAGACGGCGCGGGCGATGGCTGTCGGCTGGGAGGGCGTTCATGCTGGGGTCGTGGTGAGATCGGAACGTTATCGAGAAACATGCCTTCAGGGATGTCGTCGCCTTCATCCTCGTCACATTCATGCTCAAGCTCGGCGAACGATTTCCGATGTCGAAGTGCGGGCTGCCAGCTTCCCCGGCGAGGCTTGGGAGGGATGCGAGGTCCCTTGGGGTTCAAAGCCACATTGCTAGGGCTCAAGCTTCTGTTTCGGGGAGAAGACGCTTGGTTCGAACGGCTGGATGATCGCTTGGAGGGTGCTGCCGGACGTCCAGGGTCGGCCAGAACAGTGAGGCTCGTGCTCCTCGGATTCTGGAAGTTTGTTTGCAGATTCGGGAACGATGAACGAGGTTTGGGGGAGAGATGGTTGTTGGTAGCCAGGATCCGGCCAGAGGGGACAGGAGCTCCGGTAGGTGATGGCGCGACACCGTAGATGCCCAATTGGGAGACGTTTTTGAGGGTGTCGTTGTCGTCTTCGAGACCGATATCCTCGAAGTGGCCTACATCGTTGAGGACACTGCCATCGTCGTGGAGAGAGGAGTGGAAGGAGGAGGTCTTGGAGCTTTTGGAGGTGGTCATTCCGGGAGGGGAATTCGGGGACGAGTCGGTATCACTGTCAATGTCGTAAATCATGACTGCATCGGAAGCCAAGGAGCTCCAGTCTCTCTCGGCGGTTGACGGGGACGGTGTTGAGGAGACGGGCTGTTGGGGATGAGCCACGAACAAACGGTCGAAGAAACAAACAAAACAAGGGACTTCCAGTCGAGTCGAGTTAAGTCAAGCCAGGACTTTTGAGACAAGGCGGTGGGTGTGGTTTGAGGCAGTGAGCAGGTGGGAGTGGGGCGCGTCAAGCCAGGCACAGACAGGCTCAGGCACAGGAACAGGAGGAGGAAGATGCCGCCACACCACAAGGCGCTTACTGTGCCAAAGTAAACAAGCAAGGGGGCCGTATAAGAAGGGCTAAAAAGGGTTAAAAAGGGCGGTAGATAAGAAGTTGTCGAGCGAATGGTATGGCGTACAGCACCAAGAACGGGAACAGCAGCGAATGGGGGCCACGGCCAGCGATGAACGAATGAAGAAGACTGGTTGAGTTGGATCTCAAGTCGAGTGAGAAGCAGAAAGAGGAAGAGAAGGGGAAAAAGGATGATCTTCCATGAGGTGGTGGGAGCGGAGTCTACCTATGTTCAATTGTGGTGCTGTACCGAGAATTGCGCTGTGCTCTGGGTGCTGCGCTGTGCTGATGAAGGGGTGTGGAGGAAAACGAAAACCCATGGACCATGATTGATGCTTCCATCCACTCATCCACCAACAGCACCAACTAACCCGATACAGGCACGGTACCTTGCCTGGCCGGGCAGGGGAGCCTCGAGAGGCCTGAACACCTGAGGGAGCCAGCGAGGTAGCACCTAAACCCGCTGGTCTTTTAGCGCACGCTCGATTGATGAACAGGAAGGAGAGCAAACAAGCAGCTGAAGCTAGCCAGAGCGGGAGGCAGGCAGATTGTTCGCTGCAGCCTCTCCCATTGGCTAGCGCCCAGGGACCGGCTGCCAGGGGGGCGCCAATGGGAAGCGAGATTAGCGGCCCATCGTCCCCATCCATCTCCATCCTCTGATTCTCGCACCATGAAGTGACGGAGAAGGATTTTCGTCTTTGCTATTGTTGTACCTGCGTGCTATTGTGAGTGCGTCCTGCTGCCGGCACAGGCCTGTAATTAGGTTTTTTAATTTTGGCACCAACAGCTCCTCCCTCGCCCGGCCGGCTGCTTCGAATTCTCCCTGTGAGCGGAGCAAAGCCGGCTAGCTGCCCTCCTGGCAATATTAGCAATAATCACCAGCTAACATGCCCATGCCCGTGCCTGAGCTGTGGTCAAGAATCGATGCCATGTACATCCATACGCGCCTGTTGGCGTCGCCGTGACTTGTCTCTGTGGCCCAGAATCAGCCAACCCTGCCAAATTAACCCCCCAGCCCGAACCGCCCTCCTGCAGCGGAATTTGATTAGCATGGCATGGTCTGTGCAGATGGTGCCGGGTACCTACCACCAGGTAGGCTTAGGCTACTGCCGTGGCATGCAGGTACGTGTGCATCTTGTCACCACACCATGGCCTCGATGACATGTGCTCTACTGCCCATCGAGATGAGCACGCGAGGCGGACTTATCTCTTGTTTGCCGTCTCATGGTTGCAACGGGTGGGCAGGCAATTTGATCTCTATCTCGGTCTCGGGTTCTCATCTCGTTGGAACCTGGGCAGCAACCAATAAACCTCAGCATGGTGAGGAACCAAACCAGATAGGCGTTTTCCTTATCTGAACATAAGATAGGAGTCACCTTACAGAGGTACATCTGTTGGTCCTGGAAAGAGCTGGCACTGTTCTTTCCTCTCGGTGGTTTCGATGACGCCCGTGTCTTGAATCTTGCTGGTCCATCGTCCTTTTAGTAACTCAGCAAATAACGAATAAAAAGCGCCCATCCAAGCTCCAACTCGTACGCCACGATGAGAAGCAGATCTGCGGCAACGCTGCGGCATGGTGACAGGACGGCGTCGTCTAGCGTCCATCCACGTCTTTTGCATGCACGTACCTCCTCTTCGGGATGGCCGCCCAATCGCGTAATCGGTAAGATCATGACGCTCCATCCATTCAACACCACCAAAGGAAAAAGGAAATGAAGCATAAGATTCCCCACACTACCCCGTTGCTGCTCCTCCCTCGGAGATGGAGGGCATGGGCCTGGCACACACCTGCACAGAAGTTCAAGTCAAGTCATCGACAAAGAAGGGCTGGCTGCCACACCATGCGCATATTGCTCCAGCGAATCACGTTCTGCTCCTGCACCAAGCAGTGATTGCAACGTTCATTCAATTAATCCGGGCATTTCTGTTTCTGTTGTTCTAAACTAACAGCACGATATCAAGTCCAACCCCTTTCAACACCTTCTCAAGCCTTTTTGTAAACTACTAGCAACACATTCAAAGCCGCCCTGCGATGGCCTGCCTGCCAACCAAGACCAAAAGACTTCTCGAGTCTATGGGCCAAATTTAGAAACGCGTCCACCGAAAAACCTGATCTCATCATCAAAGCACTGACCTCGTAATACATCTCCTTCATGCGTAGACTACCCTAGTCAGCCCTCTCGCGCAACATCTTCTTGAGTTCTCGAACTTCGGTCCAAGAGAACAGCGATGTGATTCCCTTTGTCTTGCTCGCAACCGGTGATCGCTTGTTCTTGACCAGTTTCTTCCATCCCGTCAGATGAAAGTACGCAAGAGCCTCAGCCGATTCTCTACGGCGGCGTTGTCGGAGCGTCTCCACTCCATTCACTGGCTTCTCCTTCTCCCGTAGACTGTTGCGCACAATGCGAGAAACGACACTCTCCAGCTTGCGCTTCTTGGCCGGGTTATCATCCTCCGAAATAGGTGAGCTCGAATGCATTTCTTCCCAGGACCGTTTCTTGCCGGCATGTGAATCTGCTGCCGCGATCTGCGTGGTTCTCAAAGCCTCCTTGCGGGCATGGGACCTAGTCATGGGCTCCTCTTCGAAGCTGTCATCATCACTTGTCATGGCTTGGGTGAGGTCGATGCAGTAGGTTTCCTTGATAGTCGCCGGAGTGCCCTTGGCTGTAGGTTTGTGAGCCCGCACCAGCGTCGGTTTAGCTGCTTGCTGCTGCTTCTTCGAACCGCCAGTCTTGTCAACAGCCAATGAGGGCGACATAGTGCGGCATCGTCCAGCTCTCTCCTGAGAAGTTAGCTTTCCGTTGGGCTTGGACGCTGATACTCGGGCAGCGTGTGAAGACGGTGTAGCCGCCTGGCTGCTCTTTGTGGGCGTTGAGACATTACGCTGAGCCGTCGTGGACACCTTCGCGCTTGGTGGTTGGCTTTGCGATCTGGTTCTCGCAGGGGGTGTTTTGCGGATAGCCTGAGACTCGAACTCGATATCCGAATCATCGACGGTGCCAGATGACGTCGCGTTTTTGACCGCGGCTGCGATACTCTGCTTTGACGGCGTGGGGGCCCTCGAAGCGCTCCTTGTCTTCGGGGTGTCGTAAATAGCCTGAAGCTCAAGCTCCGAGTCGGAATCATCTCCAGATGATAACTGGACTACCTCGGCAGTGTCGGGGATGTAGCGGTCGTTCTTCTTTTTCTTCTTCTTCGCCGGTGAGGGTGTCGAAACTTTTTCTTGCTTCACACTCTCGGACTTTGACTTCTTTCCAGATGACGCCCTGCTTCCAACTTGGCTCTTGGGTGTCGCAGGGGTAGAGCCAAACAGGTTCTTGTTAGCCATAAATGGCGCTGTCACTTCTTTCCTCGGGAGTCGCATTCCAGACAGAAATCTAGCACTGGCCTGGGCATCTGCAGTGGGCGTCACCTCGACACTCTCATCGTTTGAGTCCAAGGCCATTTCCACATATTCTTCCCGAGGTTGGCCAGAGCTGGGGATCTGAACCTCCAGCCGAGTTGGCGAAAACGTCTTGGTCACCTGCTTCTGGGGAGTGTAGGCACGCTGTTTCTGCGGCGTGGAGACGGGTGTTTTCTGAGGTGCAGACACTGATCGCATCTGAGGCGCTGGGGCATTCTGAACATGAGTCTCAGGGCCAGCCTCTCTCTGTGACGAGGGCAATGGCTTCGGCGCGCTTTGCTTCTGGGGTGTTGGGACTGCTGAGCTTGAAGGGGTCATGTCAACATCGGCCTTCTTGCTCTTGTCCTTCTTCTTCTTCTTGTCCTTGCTTTTTCCATCCTTGGACTTCCTGTGCTTATCCTTGTGCGATGACTTCTTCTTTTTCGACGCAGATCCGAGGCCTTCGCCGTCCTCCTTCGGCACCTGGTGAGTTTGCGACAGTGACATTTTGGAAACAAACTTCACGTCTGAATAGATGGCGTTAACGGGGAAACACTGGCCTGGTGCGAAGTGAATTTTTTTTTTGGTCAAGTTTGAAATCTCAAGTTCAAAGAAAGTGAAAGGTCGTGATCAAAGAGAGGATGGGAAAGTAATGAAGTGCCGGAGTAAAAGTAGGCGGTGGGAAGGAACTGGTGGCAGGAGGGTGTGCTCAAGGTGAGAACGTTGTGAGGTCAATGCCAGCCGTCGCTTCAATACCGCCACAGCTTCTCACATTCATCTCGCCGTTGGGTTATTGACGCAGGTATTTGGATGAATAGTGAATAGTAAACTAAGAGCAGACTTTGCATTGTGGTACTCCAAATATTGGGAATGAGAATATTTCTTGGCAAGAGATTTGATTTGATTGTACGACAGAGAAGATGTTTGGTTGGCGCATCACCCATTTATTGTGCTGTCGAACGAACGCTCTTCATTGCAAGGTTTCCTTGACAAGTAGAGAATCGATAAAATCCAATGACAATCGAAGTGGATTTCAGATCAAAAGCCAAGGCCACGCTGCCCATGTTTCAAGGCTCATGCCTACGCATTACTTCGCGGATCATAGGTATTGAAACAGATCACAGAGGGAGGGTCATTAACGAGCATTCATCTCATCTATGAGTGTATGTCCATTCACAAGTGTGATGCACTGTTCTATGGGATATTACCTATATGGGTTGCTTTCGTTCATAACATCCATTAAACCTAAATATTCAACTTTTGTTTACATACGCTCACGTCTGCGAGGAGCTGCCCGAATAATGTCGTCTACTCGAAGAAGTAGCTGTATCTAATGTTAGCAAAATGAAATGGAATAATTAAAACATGGCGGTTGTAGAACTGAAGATCTTACCTCAGCTGCTTCACTAGCTGAAGACACGACAGCCTTCTTCAGCTTGTAGCTCTCAACCACACCAAGATCGCGCATATCGGCAATGCCACCACCAGGGGTTGTCAGGTCAAGGCCATATGATGTCAAGCCTTCGTAGATCGCCTTGCGCAGGCGAGCAACAAGGTCTCCTGAATCCAAACCAGCGTTATCAGCCAGAATAGTTGGCAGCTGTCGCAGCGCAATGGCGAAGCTGGACACGGCGAGTTGACGTTTGCCCTCAACGCGAGTAGCAGCGCCCTCAACAGCCTTGGCCATGAGCATTTCGGCGCATCCACCACCCAGGGTCGTCCGGGGCTCGCGAACGGTTTGTGAGAGAACGGCAAGAGCATCGTGCAAGCTGCGCTCGGCTTCGTCAAGCAACTGGTCTGTTGCGCCTCGGAGAACAATAGTGCAAGCCTCGCCAGCGGCAACGCCGGAAAACTTGATCAGGGTATCCTCTCCAATTATAACCTCCTCGATCGTATCGCAGTGGCCGAGCCTGACCTGGTCGGGGTGGTCAAAGGTGGAGGCAATCTCACCGCCGGTTACAAGTGCGAGACGCTCGATCCCGTCAAAGTCGGCATGCTCAATGGACATGATGCCGGCATCAGTAAAGAGCTGCTCGGGCCAGTTGTAGATGAGTTGACGGTTGATGAAGCAGTTGATGCCATGTGCCTTGATCTTCTCGACCTTGGCCTTCATCTTCTCCTTCTCAGCCTTCTCAAGCTCTGCAAGCTTTCCGGTGGAGTCGACCTTGAGTCGAGCACCAAAGATTTTCACCTTGTCAGTATCCATGGAGGTGTTTGCCACCAGAATCTTTGCCTTTTCCAACCGCTTCGGCTGGTTCACACCAATCTTCTTGTCCAAGATGAATCCCTCGTCGAGATAGGACTCGCTGAGCTTTCCACCCGCTTTCTTGATAATCTGAATGTGGCTCAAGTCGGAGGATTGCTTGAGACGAAGGACGGCGTCGACGGCGAGTTCAGAAAAGTGGTTGCGGTCTTGGGAGAGAACCTTTGAGCTCAGAGTCGTGCGGGCAATGGCCAGAAGATCTTTTCGGAAAGCCTCGGGGCTCTTGCTGTGATCGACGGCGGAGTCTTCCAAAGCCTTAAGGGATGCCTGGCTCGCTATTCTGTAACCCTCAATGATGGTCTGGGGGTGAATCTTCTTGTCCACAAGCTTCTCGGCCTCGCGGAGGAGTTCGGCAGCGAGCACGGCGACAGACGTGGTTCCGTCTCCGACTTCGTCATCTTGAACTTTCGAAATGTTGACGAGGACCTTGGCAGCGGCGTTGTCGAGTGCGATGGACTTGAGGATAGTTGCACCGTCGTTCGTGACCATGATGTCTCCGGTGGATCTAGATGATTCCATCAGTCCCACTCCTACAAGCCATCAATGAAAAGAGAACATACGCAGATTGAAGAATCTTGTCCATGCCCTTGGGTCCAAGAGTGCTCTTCACCAAATCGCCGACGGCGATGGCCCCAACAAAGGCAGCCAGGCGCGCATTCTCGCCCTTCTCCTCCGTAGTACCCTCCTCGAAGATCTGGGTTGGTAGAAACGACTAACCGCCTAATGTAAGTCAAGGGCTGGCTAAAATAGAGGGAGCTTTGCATACCATGTTGAGAGATTTGAGAGGTTTCCCCTACCCTTTTAAAGGTGAAGGAGTATTATATCTTTGAATAGGTATGGTGGACTATTCGGCTCAGATGAAGCAGGCAGTCACTTTTTTTCAAACCCCCGCGGCCTTGAAGCTCTGTCACCACCGCCGACCCGCTGAAATCAGGAGTTGAGACAGGGACCAGCAATCAACCCCACCAAGATAGAGCTTCACGTGACTTGCCCCGCGGTATCAGAAGCCGACGGCTCTGGAATATCACTTTTCCGTCGCACACTTCAGGGAATACTAGGACAATACGCAAATTCGCGAGTGGCCGTGGTTTTATTGAGTGGCTATTTTTTTCCCACCCCACGCTGGTAGCCCTGCACGATTTCCGCGTCGACCTGTCTGGACACCCGACTTGAAAGCAGATCCCAGTGGTAACCTTTACCCTTCTGTATTTCAATCAAGCCTATACTCGAAGTCGGACACAGCGCCGAGGCAGCGTATACGATCCGACAGCTTCAAGTGCCAGTGTAGGGCGGGGCAACAGTTTTTGCACCCCTCCTTGGCCTCACAACATTCCCGCAATCATGGCGCCCACGTTCGAGCACCTCCGTGAAGCGGATCTTGACGATGACGAGTTCAATGAGGATGAGATTGATACCTCCGATCTGCGAGAGAGATTTGAGGTTCAACTCGAGCAGGGATACGACACTTTCGTTGTCATCGACGGCCTTCCCAAGGTCAACGAGGGCCAGAAGCCCAAACTGGTCAAGTTCTTGCTAAAGAAGCTCAACACCGTCGGGAAGGTTAGGGAGGAATCTGTCTATATGCCCATGGGCGATGATGGAGACTCTTTAAGGCATGCAAACAGTTTCCCTTCTGGAGGAGTTGAATCATGGTGACTGACCAGGGTATTAGATTTGCATTCGTCGAGTACTCCTCCCCCGCTGAGGCGGCCGCAGCGACAAGACAGTTGGATATGGTCCCCCTCGACAAGAAGCACACTCTGCGCGTGAACAAGATGACCGACATCGAGCGATACGGCCGAGAAGGACGCGTGGACGAGAAGTACCAACCCCCCCACATCGACGAGTTCACAGAGAAGGAGCATCTCCGATGGTTCCTCAAGGACCCTTCTGGTCGCGGCCGAGATCAGTTTGTTATGTACAGCGGCGAGTCCGTGGGCGTGTACTGGAACAACGAGAAGGACCAGCCCGAGAATATCGTCGATCGTCTTCACTGGACCGAAACCTTTGTGCAGTGGTCCCCTCTTGGCACCTACTTGACCTCCATCCATGCCCAGGGTGTTCAGCTCTGGGGTGGCTCCTCCTGGTCTCGTCAGGCCAGGTTCGCACACCCTTATGTCAACCTGGTTGCTTTCTCCCCCACTGAGAAGTACATGGTGACCTGGTCAAACCGACCTATCTCCATCCCCGATGAAGGCCACCCTGCTCTCTCTATCGACGATGACGGAAAGAACTATGTCATTTGGGACATTGCCACCGGTTCGCCTCTCCGATCCTTTGCCAACCTCGATGCCCCCAAAGTTGAGGGCGACCGTCCTCCCCCGAAGATGCAGTGGCCTGCCTTTAAGTGGTCTGCGGATGACAAGTACGTCGCTCGCTTGAACCCAGGACAGTCCATCTCCGTCTACGAGCTACCCCGCATGAACCTTCTCGACAAGACTAGCATTAAGATCGAGGGAGTTGTTGACTTCGACTGGGCTCCTTCAAGCCCTCACCGAGAGGGTGTCAAGACCTACGAACAGCTGTTTTGCTACTGGACTCCTGAAATTGGCAGCAACCCTGCCAAGGTTGGTCTGATGAGCGTCCCCTCCAAGCAAATTGTGCGAACCCTCAACCTTTTCAGTGTCAGCGATGCCAAGCTCCACTGGCAATCAGAGTCAGCCTACCTTTGCGTCAAGGTTGATCGCCACTCCAAGTCTAAGAAGTCTCAGGCTACCACCCTGGAAATTTTCCGCATCAAGGAGAAGGGCGTCCCCGTAGAGGTGGTTGACACGATCAAGGATACTGTCATCAACTTTGCGTGGGAACCCAAGGGTGATCGATTTGCGATCATCACTACCACGGAGCCCGCTGGCCCCACCGCCGTTGCCCCCAAGACGGCGGTTGCGTTCTTCTGCCCTGAGAAGGCCAAGGGCCCTCATGCCGGCAACTTCAAGCACCTCCGCACGCTTGACAAGAAGAACAGCAATGCCATCTACTGGTCTCCCAGGGGCCGGTTTGTGGTCATTGCCACCGTCCACAACCAGCAGAGCTCCGACCTCGACTTCTTTGATCTCGACTTCGAGGGTGAGAAGCCAGAGGCCGAGAAGGACATGACGGCGAATCTGCAGCTCATGAACACCGCCGATCACTACGGAGTAACGGATGTTGAATGGGACCCTTCAGGTAGATTTGTCGCTACCTGGGCATCGGTGTGGAAACACTCGGTACGTTTGATGATCCTGACACTCTATCCTAATTTGCC